CCTACTTTAGTCAAGTCTCTCCCACAGTTAGGATCAGATGTGCAGCGTTTGGTTATTTGGTGTTAATCATTATTATCTACGCCACTCACCTCTGTCTCACTTTTTTTTTTATCCTCTTCCTGTTTATTTTCTTTCTTTTCTCACTTCCAGTAAGATAACTCTTCTTCATTTTTATTGGAGTGGCTAACTCAGTGTAAATGAGAGTTTAAAGACACAGGTACAAATCTACAACACGATAAAAGCTGCATCAGCAAACCATTTTCTCAGTTGTAATTCCATTCGGAGATTAGTTAAAAATACCTGTACATACACTACATGTGCTGTAGAACTGTTTATATAAACAAATACAAAGATTCTTAAAGGAGTCAGGTCACTTGCATTGACACACAAACATGCGCACATGCAGGCCTATAATCAATATTTGAATCATATCTAATTTTTCTGTTTCTTGAGAGACTGGTCTTTCTCGGGAACTCTGATATTAAATTATTCCTCCACTTTGAAGCTCTTTATAGCATCTTTTAGCCTATTGTTTGTACTCTCTGGCCTTAATCATGCTGTTTTGGTTCAGTCACACTGTTCTCATATTATTATTTCCAGCTTCCAGTATCTGATTTCACCAAAGAAAGACATTAACTCACATAGTCTGTGCCTTTCTGCATTAGCATAGCATAGTTTCAGTTCACACTGGAAACTACCAGTTTCTCTGGCTATTCTGATAATGCTTACATAAATGTCAGACACTTCTAGCTGTATGAATGCAAAATCCATCTACCATGTTGCCACTCTGCTTTCTGTCTGAGCCATGGTGTTGCCCTCTTTGTTTTGATTCACAAACACAGGCTTAGCTTGGGAAATCTCTTATTGTCATTCACTGGACTGGATTATTTTTTAATCCAGATGTTTAGAAAGGTCTTTGGAGACTTTGAAGACACCCTCAGAACAGCTGTAAATTGATTCAAACATGTTAAATAGCTATCCCCAGTCTCAATACATGAAACTGAGTCCTCAGGAGTTCAGAGAGTTCAGAGACAGAAAGTGCGGATGTATTATAATGTTGCTCTAAAATTGTGTTCACAGATTGTTATCCAGCAAGCCCATTGTTGTTAACTAAAATCGTTAATGTAATAAACCTTTTTTTAAATATATAGACTGTATATTATCATGGTGATTTAAGTGGTGAATAACTCTTTGTTTATGATCCTAAATTAAGTGAATTATAATTATTTGAAGGTCAGGTTTTAAATATTAATGTCTCCAATTTCACATATAAAATACGCATGTTTATAGCAAAATGCTGAGCAGTCTCTGAATTACTACCAGATTTTTGCCTGTGAGATGACCCACCGCTACAGTCTGACTGACAGATATTAATCTTCATATGTACAGAATGTAACACAAAAAGAACTCATGGAGGTTTCCCGGAGTGAATAATTTCGACACAGATGTTTGTATGCCCAAATGCAAACATTATTAGACACACAGAAGCACGCACATACACAAATACACATAGGTCTGTGCCACAAGCAACTGAAAGAATACGACTAATCTCCAGTTTGAAATCAAACTGACAATGAAAGACAATCTTTCCTCTCCAGAGTAATGCCCAGTAGCAAAAGCATTAAGGATGGCTGATTGGATAAAACCATGACTAATAACTCTGCTCCTGATCCAAGGATGGCTATCCAAAGGGGGCACAGAGGCGGCCAGTGGTTGTGTTGTAAACCGAATGCTTTTTTTGTGTGTGTACTTCTTCTTTTTAAGGTATCTGGCAGTAATCCCTCACTTATTGCTTTTTTACAAGTTGGCTAGTTAGTTTCCAGTTCAACTATAATGGACTGTAAATTTACCTGCTTGATTATATTTCAGATATTAGTAGAAACATCTGTTTTTTCTTTGAACACCCTACAAGGCCTGACAAGATTTGGATCAGTGGCATGTGTACCATCCCACCTATGGACTAAAGCCAATTAAATGGCCACTTGGCTGTGTGCTTGTCATGTCATTGTGGTTTAATAGGTGAATGTATGACTATGTGAAAACAAGGACAATGTGAGAAGAGAATGAGCATCTCCACCCACCACTGTCCTAAACCCACCATCTCCACAGTCACCAGAGTAATACATCCACATTGCATTACCTTATTATCTCTATAGAAAAGAAGGTATGATGAGCAACTTTTTACAGTTGATTTTGATGCCAAATAAAATTGCCTTTGTTTAAAATAATAAAAATAATATTCAAATAATAATATTTTTTGTTGTATCTATCAAATTCTAGTTATTATAGTTTTATACCAATGACCTGTCAAAAAACTTAGTCCTACTGCACAACATGCCCCGATGTAGAGGGATAATGAGCACAGGGATGGGGTAAATTGAGCCCTCTAGGGGTTAAACAGTCTTGGCATATTTTTGCATTTTGTTAATGCCTTTAAGTAAGGAAAGTAATCAAAGGCAAAATACACCCTTTCAAAAATACCATATATCATGTAATACCATATGTTTGCATCCTGCTGTTCAATATGATACCTATATTTTCATGTTGAACAGCATGTATGTATAATTTCATAACTTTTATGTCATGGAATCTTAAAATGTTCTCTTATGTTTATTGTATACACTTCATTGGGGAATTATTACTGCATAGTGTCTGGATATTGCATATGTACAGTATTATTTATTAAAATAATGCTGCAGCTGGATAGTGTGGTGGTAAAACTACACACCTTTGGAGCGTGAGTCGCAAGTTTGATTTCCACCCAGTATCCAGTAAGGGTCCTGGCTAGACTCCCCATGCTAAAACCAAGACCTGGAATGGCGCGGCTTTGTGTGCAATCTGTCTGCAGCTCGTACAAAAGCATTTCACTACACGTTGTACTCTGTATGATTGTGTATGTGACAAATAAAGGTTGTTTGTTAAAAAAAATATTAGACCTATATATACTTTACATCTGTGTACGTGTATGCTGTTGTTTGTAAATCAATTTTCCCAAACATTTTTTAGTGCTGTAGCACTGGAATATGTTGTCGTGCATATCCATGAATAAGTGTGCATCAAACAGTGGCACTGCCTGTAATGCTGTTTTTTCTGTAAAGACAAAACGACTCATAAGGAAATAATAATGCAAAAAATTATTATTTTCCTATTTTTGTATGAATAATAAAACCAAGAGCAGCTATAATAAAGAGTTATGCAGACCTAGATTTTCTTTGCTATAGTAAAAAGAGAGAAACATGTTAGACACTGTTCAGCAGCTTTATTGTGGTACATTATTTTCTTATTCAATAAAGGTTTTCCCGAAACACTCAAGAGATACAAAGACCATGTTTAATTTTTTTACAGTCTGTTACAATAAAGAATTTGTTTGAATAAGAAAGATAATGATGTTAAGCAAAGCATTACCATTCTTTTCTCTTTTTTCCTTCTTTTTTGACAATGGCAATTCAGAAAAATGAATAGCTTTCACAATCCATTTGCCATTCTTGATGTGCTTTTTTTGGTTGATTTGCTAGTGGAGAAATTTAAACAGAAACCAACCATGCAGTTTGTAACAAGATGAAGTTTGTGACTGGCTCTTTTCAGCATTGTAACCCATACAAAATCGTGACACACTGCTGGCAAAGCGAGTGAAACTTGGGATTGTTTTTGCTTTGTCTTGGCCTCCTTGTGTGTACTCAAGCCAGTGAGTAGAGTACGGTATACAGTGACTGTTTTGGAGGAGGGAGAAAGCTGTTCGTCTATCAGCTGCCAAGCTCTGCAGCGAGCTTGATCAGATCAGTCCGCTCCCTCATTCACAATCTGTTTTATGTAACAATCTCTGTATACAGTACTGCGTCTAGGAATAACATATACCAAACTGTCTTTGAGAAAGCCTTGTCTCCAGGTGTGTTTGTGTCTTTCACAGCTGCTTAACATACAGGCATCCTGAAGTTGGTTAAATAATATACTTATAATGTGCTGCATTCAAAGACAATGGAAGATAAAAGAGGTTGGGACATTAAAAATGACCTATTAAGCCTTCTTTTCTTTTTTT